CAGTCAAATACGATGCGGCAGCAGTCTTATGTGCCGAATGTCTAATGCATTGGGCTCCTTATGATACAATGGATAAGTTTACAATGAGCAAAATCAAATGCGATGCAATACACTACAAGCAGGCACCCGGAGCTCTAATTAACCCAGGTACTCCTTCAGCTCTTCCGTCTCCTCTAACAAGGTGTTGAACGAGAACGGTGCAAAAGGCCAACCAGCGAACTCAGCGAACTTGGAAAAGGACTCGACCCAGGCCAATCTGAGAGAGTGCAACATGGCACTGGTACCCTCCATCAGGACGAGAATGGCAATAGCTGGGACGGTTGTTAGCAGGCAAGAAAGATGAAACGGATGGCGAACACTCACTAAGGAAGAACCACAGATAGAAACCAATGACAATGGCAATAACACCAAGGACACCAGTCATGGGGAGGACGTTGTTGAGAGTCATGTTCCAGAGCACAACACTGAGCTGCTGGTGAGCAAGCGACAGAGCCCAGAGACGGAGGTAGGAAGCCGTGTGGGAAACACAGTTCAAGCAGAATTCTACGGGTGCCGTTAGCATTGTCTTCCCAAGCAGCAAATGCGGTTGACTTACCAATCGTGTGAATAACCTGGTGGATCATGACTTCACTGAACTCAAACTCCTCGTGCTCGCCATCGCCGTGCAGGTCCTGCGTGATCATACCAACGCCTTCGCCATCTGACTCGAAGCTCGGGCGGCCGTTAAGCGGCTGCGCCTCGTCGTCGTCGTCGCCATCCAGAGCACTAACGCGAGAGCTCTCGCCAATACCCCTATAGCCCTTGGCGCGAGCGTGGTTGTGCTCCCAGCGGAGCCAGAAAGGCTTCAGGAACAGGAGAATAGGAACTTGAATGAAAGCAAGCAGCAAAAGAACAACCTGAACAAAGCCCTGTCCGTTGTAAAGCTTCTCGGGGGTGGAACCGGGCGACAGGAACATGTAGATCAACATGTTCAACAGTCCGGGAGGACCCTCCGTGACCGAGGGGTCGTACCAGTTGACGGTCCACTTGTAGATGATGCAAAGCACCAGGTAGCCGAAAATGGACTGGAAGAAAATCATGCCGGGAACGAAGTTGCCCCAGATGTCGACCTTCTTGTTGAAGTGCTTAGCGTTGACGTAGGAAAAGATAAGAGAGTAGGTCATGTGTGCCCAACCGAGGACGATGGACATTTTCATCTTGTAACTGTTGCTGAAGAGGAGGTCGTTGTCGGTACCGTGCCATCTCCAGTCAAGACCGAAGGGGTAGCGGTAGCCCTTGTCGTTGAGCTTGCCAACAAGCGTTCTGGTCTCAGTGTAGTTGTCACCGGCATCCCACTCCCAGGCGCTGTCGAACAGCGTCATAGACTTGGAGAAGATATCGTTGTAGATGAGACCAGTGAAGAGCGAGAAGAGACCCATGACCAGGGCGATGTATCTGCCGTAGTACATCATGGCAAACAACTCGAAGCTGACCTTCTTGAGAGGTTTCTCCCAGTAGATCATGGCGAGCGCAGCAAGCGTCATGATGACAGCGTGACCGAAATCACCGAACATGACGGCGAAGAGGAAGGGGAAGGTTACAATAACCGGAAGAGCCGGGTTGACCTCCTGGTAGGTGGGAGTACCGTAAGCGTTAACGATGGTCTGGAAAGCCTCGGTAAACTTGTTGGTCTTGATGTACGTAGGAGGGGTCTTGTTGGTGCGAATCTCGTTGATAATGGAAGGCACCGACAGGCCTGCACGGTTCGTGACGTCTTGCAGGGTCGAGCGAATTCGTGGGAGGTCGTTGGTCGGACACCAACCCTCAGCAATCAGCGTACGACGGGCACGGTCGTACGAGAACAGGTTGAGCGTGTTGTAGACAGCCTTCTCCTTGGTGACCAAGACCATCCAGGCGGACAGAGCCTGGCTGATCTGCTGCAGCTCCGCGTTGAGAGTCTGCTGCGTGTTGCGAAGAACGTTCTGAACATCGTTAAGGCGAGCGTTAACCTCATGGATCTGGTCGCGACGGAGATCGCTGTTCTCGTCGACGTTGTAGACCTCGGCACCCATGGACTCAGAAATCTTGCGAATCTTGGCGAGAATCTCCTTGCCGTGGGCGAAGATCACAAAGACGTTCTTGTTGATCTCCTCGTTGTTGGTCGGGTCGACGAGCGGCTCAGGGATCTCGGACTGGTTCATGTACAAGTTTCCACGTAGGGTTCTCCAGAGGATACGCTCGAAGGAGGCGACGCGGTCGCGGTTGATGACACCGGCAACGAAGCCAATGTTCATGCCGGAGAAGGAGCGCTCGACCTCGGGGGCCGAGTTGTGCTGCTCAACGTCCTGCAGCAGGGGAGCGTCATCGTTATCGGTGGACGCGCGGATCTCTTCAACGTTGCCGTGAGCTCTGTCGAAGAAGCCGCCAGCCTCACGGAGAACCCAGCGCCACTCGGTGAGCTCGACCTCGCGCTTCTTCAAGGTCTCGTAACTGTCATTGAGCTGGTAGACACGCTGCTCCAAGCCCTGGCTGCGCTCAGCCAGCTCGTCGATCTCCGAAGTAGAGGGATTGGCGAGGCGCTCCGCATCGACATCGAACTTGCGGAGAGGAATTCCGGCCTTCTCCATCTGAGCATAGAAGTATCCTGATGATATATGTTAGCTGGGGTTTCGATCGCGTTCGTCGCGGGCCGGGCGCGGCCTGGGGATTGATGACGTACGCAGCTGGCGTTCGACATTGTCGAGTCTTCGAATCTCTTGAGTGAAAGTGCGCTGGAAAGCGCTGACTTCGCCATTGAGCTGCGATGGGATTTGATGGTTAGCTTCGATAACGCGGATGAGACTCGGGGGCTGACGACATACATCGCGGAACTGGAGGAGACCAAGCTCTCCAAGTGCAGTGACAACCTCGCGACCTATTTCGTTGGAAATGTACAGCTGCACCATACTCATGTTCGCCGAGCGAAACATGGTATCCTGTGCCGGAGCCATCTTGATGGTGTGGCGGGAGCTCCGAAGCCGTGAGTGGGTGGTTGAGTTCAAGCTTGACGATAGCAAGGGCCAAACACGGAGCTGCCAAGTTGATGTCGTTGCCTCCAAGGGGAATGAGGCTGAGCCGAGCACCGGAGCAAGGTTGTTCCGTACTCAGATAGACGAGATGTGGCGCGAATTGAAAGTGGGCCGTGGCGGTGCACTTTCCAAAGAAATATTTTTGGCGATTATCCACTGCAAATTCTCACAGAACTCTTTCCTCAACAACAACACGAACAGTGATCGCGAACTGTCAGCTGCTTGCTGCCCCCTCGGCGCAATCGATCTTCTTAATTCTGGAAGTCGAAGAGAACCAAATTCTCTGCGCTGTAATGTCGCGCCGTCCTACGTTGTATCTGAAGGACTTGCCAGCGCAGCGCTTATCGCGATTGCCAGAGCTCTTGTTCTCTTACCACGTGCTTCGTGAACTAATCCTAATTACCACAGTAATGGCGCTTTCGAAGCTTTGTCGGCACCTCAATGGTCGAACAAAGTCAATATGACGCCTAGAGCAAACCCCATATACTCTGCCAAGAGTAGTCTACGTCGTGTTACAAAGTCTTAGCCTTGCAATTAAGATCTTTGCGTCAAATCAAACGAGATACATCCCATCACTGTAGAAGCAAATTTTGTTTTGCAGAGCCATTCATTATTTTCTAAATTCTCTACTCGACTTCGGGCGGGGTATGTGACCCTTGCTTGGTATCAAAGCTCCTTTTTCTCCTGCTGAGCGGAGGCAGCAGACTCTGACTTCGCGTTTGCGGCTCCGGCGGGCACCTTGACCTTCGCCTTGCCCTGCTGCTGCTGGCCCTGCTTGGCCTTCAGAACGAGCCCCAAAATCGACGTGATCAGCTCCGTGAGGAGAGTGACCATACCGTTGCACGCCAACTGCCACGACACGATGCTCACGCTGCCCATCGGCGCCTTGGGGAAGGACATGAGCCACTCCGCGTAGTACGGAAACCATCCGTAAGGCAGCCAGAACATGGGCTCCTTGGAGTACCAGAAGGGCAGGCCATATTGGGGAACCTTCGTGACGAGGAGTCGGAAGCCGGTGAGGTAAGTATCGAACTTGGATTTCGCTCCTTCTTGGGATTGCTCTGTGACAAAATACCTGCGTCAGTGACTGCTTTGCAAAGTCGAAGATGCATCTGTATCCGGAGGGAGCGGGGGAGGGCCACGTACTGCTCTTCTCGAGCTGGTCCAACAACTTATCGTGCGTCCGGCGCAGCTTCGCCCACTTGGCGAACTCGTCCTGGCTGCTAGTCGCATTCAGCTCCTTTCGCACTTTCAGGAACTCTGCCTGCAGCTGTCGGTGCTGCTTCGCCGTCTTGGAGGTCGAAACGGGGAGGTAGTTGAGCAACGTCCAGAGCTGGCCAGCAGTTAGTCGTGGTCGATCTTTCCGCGACCGGAGCGGCCGTCAAAGCACAAAATGAGACACGAAAGGGGAGAGGGGAAAAATACTCACCAAGCTGTTGATGGTGGCAGCTCCGATGGAGTTGACCAGGTGGGAGACCACCTCCAGCACGAAGATGATGACGAGCAGGGAAGGCATTTTGTCGAAAGGTCGGCGGCGCTTGGAAGATTCAGAAACTCGCAAGCGGTCGGTTGCTTATCGGCACATGCTGCGCTGGGGGAGTTTGCGTTGGGCGAGGCTGGTCGATTATTGCAAACGATGTGTGACGACTTTCCGGAGAAGCCCTTTAGCGGGAGGAAAACGTGGTCCTATGTCATTGCCCCGCTAAAAGCGTAGCGGGTTGGCCCAACCATCGAGGTAGCCAATCATCTCCACCACCTTTCTACCTCACCTGGTGCATTCCTCGCAACAAGACAACAACGGCATCAACGTCTAGATCGGCAATTGCATAGTTTCGAGGCTTTCACTTGCATCTGTGGCACTGCGGATATTCTGGAGTTGCTGTTGCATGTGCTTTGTTGCGTGGCATCCCAGACATGCCGTGAGTCAGGCCAGTCACCGCCAACGCCAATGCAATGTCGAGAGCACTGGACAAACATGTCATCGCGGCCTTGAAACAAGGCGATCACCAAAAGATCTTCAACGAAATCGCCGGGCTCTTTGAAAATCCGCACGACGAGCGTCTTCTTGAAATCGAGATCCTAGGCCGCAGCCACCCCATCAGCCCGGAAGCGAACTTCCTAAGAGACGATAACGCCGTCGCCGTTCCCAAACTTCGACTGGTCCAAGCCTTCGTCGTCGCGCGGCAGATCCTGCAGAATCATCTGGCCGATGGCACTGTGGGAGCGGGAAAGCTGCGGCTAGCGACAGGCGCTTTGCTCCTCATGGATCCCGAGCACCTGACGGCTGCCAACACCAGGAAACGTCTTCTCCAGAGCGAGATGTCTGCAGGAGGCGATGTGAGATCGGCATTGATGCAGGAGAAATGGTTTGTTGACAGCTTGCTCACCAGCCGACTTCACCGGCACACAAAGTCACCGACGCTATGGAGTCATCGGCGATGGCTGCTTGAGCGTTTCCGTGAACTGGGACTGCCCGTTGCCATCCAACAGGATGTCGAAGCAGTCATCATGATAGCGGGTGAAAGACACCCACGAAATTACTACGCCTGGGGCCATGCACGATGGTTGACGAAAACTTTCGAAACTGCTTTCAGCAGTGAGGATATCTTCCCGCTCATTCAGAGTGTCAAAAGGTGGTCCTTTAGACACCACATAGACATCTCCGGATGGTCATTCCTTGCTCATCTCTTGGGTGAGAGCCGGAGCAACTTTGATAACCAAGTCTTCTCATCGGTGTTCAAAGAGACACTTGACCTGGCCGAGTCTTTGCGGTGGGAGAACGAGTCAGTATGGTGGTTTCTGCGTACCACGGCATCCGACACAGCAATGGGGCAGGCTGGCCTAGAACAGTTTGTCAATGTCCAGGAGAAGCTTTCTGCTACTGCACGTGTAGACTCTACAGGATTTCGAGTCTTGTCAGCGGCCCGGAAGTGGTGCGATGTGTATGGCTCTCATGGCGAACTTATTCCGAGCGCATTAGAACAAAGCTACAAAATTGAAGCTTAAAAACCTCGAGTCGCGTGGGTGGCGCTTGCGGCGTTGCCGTTTGAACTGGGAGGCTATTTTGAGGACCCTTGAACCTCATTTGTCGTTCTGGGTTGAGCCCTGAAATTGGTCCCATCGCGTTGGTGAAATACGAGCGAGCCTCGCGACGTTCAAGCGCAAAAAGACACGGCAGTAATGCTCACATTTTCAAGGAATTCCCTGCACCGCAGATGGGAAAGCCGCGTGCAATCACATTCTTGCTCGCGAATTTTGACAGCTGCTGCTCAAATTGTCGATAGACTGGCCTTGCTCACTACCGTGCCACAGCGGTCGTCGTGCATACCTCGGTTTAATTGATGCATTCCTCAGCAAGCCACCCCCAGGATGGTCGGTCGTCGGTGATAAGAGGCTGAAACTTTTTGGCGATGGGCCCCTGTCCATCATATCCACAAATGGACGCCCCTGCTCCTCTGTCGAAGTCAGCAGCGCGCGAAAAGAATCGGATCTGCGGACAGTGTGATGTGGTCGTGGAGCCGCCAGCGGAGGGCAAGGACCCCGGATGGACGGCGCCCAAGGCCTCCGTCATTCTCAAATTTATACGCAGCAAAATGATGTAGTCGATGGGCATGACATCTGCAAATACCCATATGAAGGCCTTGCAAGCCCTCGGCCGTTATTCAAGGCGACAGATGGCATTGGCTTGTTAGTGCATCGGCCTGCAACGAGCCGGCTGGGCTGGCGTTTGTGCAGCGCCATGTTCGGGTCAGGAAGACGCCGGCCGAACAAACGGCTGGGGGATGAGGCATTTGCGACGGCGTTGGAAAGGCCTCGCCAGCCTCGAGGCTGTGGGCGGCCTTGTGACGAGAGCCAAACGGCTTAGTGACGGGGATAGCTGTCAGTTGTAAGATTGACCAGAGGAAATTTTTGGCGCAAGAGGAAAAGGCTGGGGATCGTGTAATTAGCAGTAGGGCTCAGGTGGCTCGAGGCAGATTGAACCCTGGGGGCCAACGGCGCAGGGTCGACAAGACTGATGGGTTTCACAGCAAATCGAACCTCTACCACCAATGTCCCCTCTTTTGCGTATGATTGAGTTGGTCGATCGTCTGCCAAACCCCAGACACAAACGCTTCAATGTCGGGCCAATGCAGGCTGAATCAGCTGGGGGCCCCAGAGGATGGAGAGTGGATGCGGAAGTCGAGAGTCGAGGAAGATGAGAGGTGACGAGAGAACGGCCGAGATAGCGAGTCTAGACGAACAGGGAGAAGACGGAGGAGGAGCAGGCTGCAGCGGTGGGAGGTGGCGAATGGCTCGAGCGATGAGCAGCAGTGCCAAATCGTAGCCAGTGAGCACAGAGCAGTGGACGACTCGACCTTGAGGAGAGAATTTCCCGAGTATCCATCAGGCGGCAAGGGATTGAAGGGAGATCCAAATGACATGGAAGCACGAGCCAGGCTCAGCGGCCGCCGTCCGTGGGATCGTTTGCGTGGTTATGAACGGAAAGCAATAGGCTGTGGCCGAGTCCGCCGAGAAATGATGCACGTTCCCGGAGGGGGAGACTACATTGACAAAGGGCTCGAGATTGCATGCAGCGGCGATGGATCTCGAGGAGTCGAGAGTTGTAGACATGGAATCGACGGTAGGTAAGTTGCGGCTTGCTGTTGAAGTTTCCGAACCCACGGGCAAGGCTTTTGGCTCTCAGCGGGATTGCGAGTGTGAGACAAACGCGCACAGGTTGCGCAATGTCGAAGTCAATGGGGGAGGTCTCAAATGAGCCGTCGTCCGGTCTGGCTACCAGGGTCGACCTGGAGAAGAAAGCTTGGGAAGGATAGGCGTGGTTGCTTGGGCTGGAGGCGATGGCCCGAAGCAGTATGGAGGGGACATTGGAAGTGGAGAGAGAGTCTTTAGAGCAGCGCTCCCTTGCAGCTTGTTTTCCTAGCGCTAAAGCAGGCAAGGCGGCTTTTTCGGTGGCTGCGGCTAGCAGTGAATTGGCTTTCTCTCGCTGGTCGTTTGCCCACGGTAACGGTCAGAGTGCGAGGGAAGAGGCAATTAACCGGGAGGGGCCACGAGGTTGTGGCTTGCTGAGAGGACGTGAACGGCATCGCGAGGAGACGGCCACCTGTATGCCGGGAGTCGAGGCTGAGGTCAATGAGACTCGATTGCCGGGCTCGAATATTCGAAGAAGGCCGGGACCTGTTGCAGCCGCATGCGAAGGGTTCAGTCGAGTTGCAATTGACTGGCGGGATGATAAGGAAGCACGGCAGCCGAAAGCTTGCGGTCCGTGGGAGCCCGTAGAAAGAATGGGTGATGAGCGGGTGCCCCTGAAGGCAGCGTCCCAAAGAGGAAGGGAGTTGATGTTCGCCAAGGGGGAGCTACGCGTAAAACAGCCCGCCAATCAGGACGGGAGGGGCAAGTGCCGGTTGTCAGTTCATCCCATCACGGATCCGTCTGTTTGCGTGAAACGTTCAGGCGTTGAACGGCAGCAAAACGCGCTGAACCAGCTTGTCTGCCAGTGAATAAGGTAGCCGCGGACAGTGACTGTCAGCGCTGTCAGGTCCTTCCCCGTTGACCCGTTGACAGCAGTGTCCGAAGTCTGTCGTACCTGTGAGGTAGGTTGGTGGTGTGTGGTCTGTTCCCTGGGAAGAGATACGTGCATGAAGCCACGGACCAGGCGTCCCCCCACCACGGACGCGACCCAGCAGATGCCAGGGCTGTCATTGGTGGCAGGGGCTGCCTCGACCCGGGACATGGCTGGATGGCTTTTCGATGGTAAGACAGAGGCGACAGCTGGGAGAGCCACTCATCATCATCAACCACTTGGACCAGCAGGACGAGTTGCAGAAGGAAGGGGCAGAATTGGTCAGACGGGACTTGTTGCGTAGCATACCTTGCGTGCATAGGTAGCTACTAACTCCGTGGCCTGGTAGACTCTAGTGTGAGTGAGGTAAGATGGAAGAAGCACCGGACTCTCAGTTCCCCTGCGCAATTGCATGCATGTGTGCAGATCTGCTGCTAGCAAGCAAGCAGAAACGGGCAGGCTATCCACTTCCACCGGGCTAGCACCTGGCCTCTCTGGCCAATAATCACGACAGACGTCCAATCTCTTTCAGCAGGTCCCTTTCTCTTTCGGACAGACAGCCCTCGGAGCCGTGGCAGCGAGCCAGACTGCCAGCCATGTCTGACCAGTGAGCGGCGTCTCCTGCCTCTTTCCCCCCTGTCACTGGGGACGCCATCAACACTGGACTGGACACTGGACCTTCCCAGACCACGACCATCGTCGCTACCTTCCCCTGCTAGCGGTGGTATTCACTGCACCGGCCTGCCCACTGGCGTCTCCTCCACCTCCGATTCGCACAGGTGCATCTCCATAACTACTCCCCACGATCCCCTCCCGCCTCGCCTCTCTTCCTCTTGCCTCTCAACCCTCCACCTCCCCTCGCCTTGCCTCGCCAATCCTCTCCACCATCCGGCGGGCATCTTTCTTCTTTTTCTTCTCGAGCCGTCCGGTCTGATCTTGATTTATTTCAAGGTCGCCCATTTTTTTGTGTGTTTTCTTGTCTTGTGTGGTTTGGCACAGATTAAGAACACCCGAAAACCAGAGATCATCGCCATCTATCTCTGCCTGTTCGACCCCAGCTCGCTTCCCTTGCAGAGAGTACAGCATCGTCCGCAGCCATCTACGCTTGTCTCATTGTCTTGCATCGTGTCTCTGGCCCTCCTCGCTAGTGGCGCTCGCCGTCACCCGTCCATCAATTCCATTGTCTTGCCCTTGGTTCGACCCGCCAGCGTACAGCATTTTCGCATCCATACGCCAACATCACTCTCAAACATTACGCATTCCTGCTTGTATACCCGCCGCCTCCCCCGAGTCCGAGTCCCGAATTAAAAGAGTCCCCTGACTCTTCGAGACTCATTCCATCAACGTTCCGCTTTACTTGCGCGACAACTAATTCTTAATACCTTAATCTGTCCTCCGCCGCGGAGTCTGGCACCCGCACCAAAGCCCGTCGAAAGCCGATTCTCCCAAAACCCAGATTTCGAGTCCCCGACGTCAATTGCTGCAGTATCTTGGTCCCATCGATCGTGTCTTGCTCAGTTGCCTCTTACCGACCCGGCGAGTTCGAATTGAGTGGTATTGACTGATTAACTTCAGTCGACATCACAACTCGTATCGATTACTGCTCAGGGCAGCCCGGCCCGTCTCGCTCTCAAGATGCGTTCAACCCAGGTTCTGGCTCACCTCTCGCTATTCCTCTCGTCTGCTCAAGCTTTCTTCCCGTTTGAGGTCGACAGTCACTGTCCATTTGTTGGCGGTTGCGGATCTTCTGGTGCAAAGGAGACTAGGGATCAAGAAGCGCTTGGAGAAGATGTGGTAAACGCCATCAAGGCCATCAAGAACCCGGCCTTCCATGTCGGTCCCCAGATTACCAGAGACTCGGTAAGTGGAGTGTATTTCGGTTGTTGGATCCGACGATGGAGCCCCATGGTCATTTCCAATCACCAATATAAGAAGCTAACCACTATGTTTGTAGACGGAGGATCCTCAATCTGACCGAGTTGCACGCGAGGTCGAACGTCTCACTCGCAAGTATGCGAGGTTTCAATCCGCCGAGGTAGTCAGAGAGAGGGCTCGCAATGTCAAGAGACAGAGCCTCTACCGCATCATCACCGCAGCGGACACCACCCTCAAGAATGCCGCCCCTGTCGCTCAGGATGGCACGGACTTCTCTTACTTCGCCCAAGTCAGGTTCGGCTCTCAGCAGAAGGCTTTGTGGATGCTCATCGATACCGGAGCTGGCACTAGCTGGGTGATGGGCTCTTCCTGCAAGTCATCCGCCTGCGAGAAGCATGGCTCCTATGGTCCAACCGACTCCGACTCGTACAAGGACCTTTCTGAAGGCTTCTCTGTTGCCTATGGCTCTGGATCAGTCAAGGGCCAGAAGATTTCAGACACCATCTCATTTGCCGGCATGAACTTTGACTTCCAGTTCGGTGTTGCCAACGAAACCTCCGACGACTTCAAC